AGCAGAATGTTTTCGATTGTTGATTTTTTCGATTATCGATTTTTTCGGAACCTGATTCCGAACTCAAAAATCGGGCTCCGTCATGTCCTTAAGGCAGCCATTTGCAAACTTGTGTTGAAAACCGCATCGAAATCGGGTGAGAAATGCGGCCTGGGCGAGGTAACAACGTACACGACAGACACACAGACAGACAACATGAGAAATATAGATAGTAGATATTTGAGTTAACAATAATTTTCTTTGTATCGAACGTGTTTTTTTTTTTTTTCCGGAGCGTGGTTTTAGCCACAGAGGGTTCCTCGTCAAGGCGAATGATATTAGACACTGTGATATGCTTGAATTTCCGTTTCATAAGATTATATATCAGTTTTCAGTTGGCTTTAATATAATTGTTTTGATTTTTTTGTTTTGTTTTTATCTCTCTGGGCCCCGATTAATAAAAATTCACCGTCTTTCTTGTAATGTCTTCTTCGCAACCATATCTATGAAATCATTTACCAGCATATTAAATTGTTGGGTTTTTGAACGTAGGCAAGTATTTACAATAACGATATTTGATCTTTTGTTTGGGATTTGACAATCTGCTTGTAAGTGTAAATGATATCAATTTACACTTATTCGATTCGCTCAACCACGGTACACTAATATATACAGCCCCAAATGTTACATTTCAAGCTAATTTCTAACAAGCCTATTTGGTTTATAGTCAATCTAATGTCTGTTTTATTTAAACAAGTTGAAACCATCCACAAATACACAAACAGGTTGTTATATTTTTCTCTTTAAAAAGAATAGTATTAAGAAAAGATTGAAAACAAGCAAAGAAGTTTTTTTAAAGAATTAAGCAGAAATACGAAACAAATAAAAGTTAAAAAAAAAATCTCAGAAACAGTGTCTCTATAAATCAATTTTCTTTTGATCTTTACGTTCTTTTAAAACATTCTACCATATTTTTTCGAATTTCATCCGATGAAAAATTTCGTTTGTTGTTCTAAATATTCTCAAAACAATTTTTGCTGCAAGGTGAATTCCTTTTTCAGTGTATTGTAGGTAAAAGTAAAAACATATTTTGGAAAATAAGTTTACAAAATTATTTCAGCAGCCTCTCTTGTAGTGGATTCATTATATTTTACGACAAATTTATCTGCATTGTCAAGTATAGCAAAACAAATACAAACAAACTCTGCCAATAGGCTAGATGGAACCATAACACACCCCCGAGAAAGTAAGTCAATGTACTGATTCTCTATAGCATCATCAGTATCATTGCCTACCATGACCAAAGAACACATTTCGCATTAAAAAAGTGTAATGTTTTTAAATTTTTTCTAATAAAGAAAAAGATGGTAATGGAAATTTCTCCAGAAGTAATTTGTAGACTTGCTGAGACGTATACCGCAGTAGTAAGTCATAAAATATTATTCTGAAGAAAAGGAAGGACAACGTGTTGGATGGTAATATTGTACTTTTTGTAATTCTTTTAGAATTGAATATACTTGTTCTTTCGCCATGTCTTGTATAGAGTTTGGAAAATTTTCTAACATGCTAAATCTTGTGAGTTAACATTATGTCCGTGTATAAACGACTGTGGTAATGGTATAGGGGTTCCATCGAATGGGAGCTGGAGGCCAAGGTTTTTATCAATGCAAATACATTCTTTTACAGGTCAAAAATGTGTTTCGAGGTCAAAGACTATTCTATTAATTAGAATCTAATTCTTTTTTTTTAATTCAAAGCCGTTAGGACATCACTTTACAAATGAGCAAAGTCCTTTATCGTATAAGCCGAAATAAAAGCATGTAATTCATTAGTTTGAACTAGTCATTGTTTATGGAGGCTTTCTGAATTCCCTTGTATTCGACAAAAAGACGATGTTCTTAATTTCGTGAATGTATTTTAGGTATTGGATGTAAATCCCAAATTTTCCGTCTTTTTCCTTTCAAGATAAATTTCTATTCAAAATGTTTCAAACAGAAAACTGAATTTTTCAAAGGAAACTAATCGATACGATTAACGAATTTTATCCATTTTTCTACTCGAATTTTCCAAGGGGAACAGGAAATATCGATACTTTTTCACTGTTAGTAACATATCCAATAGAGCAGCAAAATGCAAGACGTTTTTTTTTAATCATTTTTGTTAAACAAAATATCACAACACACTTTATAATGTAATCTTTAAATACAATGGACTATGAAGTAGTAGCGTCCATTTGCAACACAGGCCGTATACGCAAATGAAAATTATAAAAGTAAGGTAACTCACAGGTGTTTATAAATTCGTGGATTACTAACATGTGTAAATATGCATTTTCGTGTTGAAAACATGTCTAGGGAATTGAAATAACGTCTGATAAATTCTATGTAATTGTACGTTGTTAATTTTTGTTCTAAGAATTTAATTGTTAAACTTACCTCCCGTTTAGATGAGCAAATTTCTAAACAACCACTCACTTTTTTTTACAATAAATCGACCTGTTAGAATTCAGCCTATGTGACATATGGGGTCGTATAATTCTAGTTCGCAGTTGCTCAAACGTTTTTCTGATGTACAAATAAAATTGACAATTTTAATGATGCTATTAACGCTTTCCATACAGGAAACATTCAGCATTCATTGATCACTGTTTCTGTCTTTTGAAAATGATAAAATAATTCTATTAAAATAGGCTTTTTAATACAGTAACTGTTATCACTCTTTCTGATATTAACATGATTTTCCTTTCTATCCTTTGATTTGATGTAGTAAGGACATTCAGTATTTTGATTATAGCATTATTTTCCCTGCTATTTACATATGATATCCATTTTAGTTGTTGCACCTGTTGGAAGTCTTCAAATCAAAGGATTTTTTTTTGCTATTTAATAGAGTTCTTTGTAGATTTCTAGCCCCTGTATATAAGATCTGATGAAGTAATATCTGCTTGAAGAGCTACAGCAGGGATCGGTAACATTTTGCTGACAATGTGCTAACTTCGGGCTTTAAATTCATTCAGTGTGCCAACTGCATACGTATTTTTTATGCAAGTCAAGGTCAATATACCTGTTCGACAATATATTTTATATAGTAATATATACAATAATATGTAAACCACATTAATAGAAATAAACTGTTTTTTTAATGTTGCTTTTACGTTTTTATTATTAATGGGAGTACAACGAGTGAGCAGTTTTGAAACAACTAAATATTTCTTTACGTTGTAGTAGTTATCGTTACGGACTTCGTGATGTCATTTGCAGCTGCGTGCCATTGGAAATTGCTTGGCGTACCAGATGTGGCACGCGTGCCGTAGGTTGCCAACCGCTAACCTAGAGAATTCATCAGTTTAAAGCTATTTTAATCGTTGATATGAGGAAACAGTTGCATATAGTTGATATTTTAGACATTTCTGGGCCAGTTTAAGGCCATATGTAATGAGAGATCATATCTGACAAAACTATTTAAACATGACACGATTTCCTATGTTACTATTTTGGTTTTACTAGCAACTTATAATGTTGGACAAAATTATTCCTAATGCAATCTATACCATGTTTAATTTCCTTGCAACCGCAAGTTCTATGTTAGTATTTTCTCCCCTCGCACTTCTCGCTTATGGAACAACGTTGATCGTTATCTTCTGTGTACTTGAATCTTGTTCTTTTATTATCACCTCTCCTCAATAACGTCTTCTCAAATTCGTATAATTTTACTGGATCTATCGCATTGTTTGGGTTGAAATAAAAAAAAAATATTTGAAGGGTTTAGAATTTATCAATTCATTACACATTTCTATAATAGATTCCACGTATGTGCCTTCAAAACTTTTATTCCCATTCCAGAATATGGTTTCTGTTTTGGAAATGTTTATCAACATTGTTGTAACTGTTTCTGGAGGTTAAACAGAAAATACCCAAACTGCTCAATCGGTATAAGCTTTCTGGAATTACACAATAACATCTTTACCCCATGGAAAAAAAATACACAGACCAATGTTTGGTAATGTCAGTTTTTTAAGAACTGTATAAGTAAATTAGCAAGGTCGATTTTATTGACCGAACGCTCCTCTGTGGCGAAATCGGTAAAAGTACGTCAGGTAATATGACGGTTCCGTATAGAATACAGGTTCGATTCCTGTCGGAGGACGCATATTTTCTATGCCAATTTCTCGGACATTCAGGCTGGTAAATGTTGTTAATACTGTTTATTATAAACAGAGCATTTACTTAAATATTTGTATCTATAAATATAAAAATGTCTTAATGTAATTTTATACTTTCATACTATAAAAGTTATTTGTTTTGAATTGTTTTAGATCACAAAATGTGTTTTCGGAGAATTTTAGTACTAAAATGAATTGGTAATTTTACTATAAAAAGTGTACTGTTGAATGTTTTTCTTTTTGTTTGGGAGTTCACAATTTTCCCATAATTAGGACCCTAACAGGTGCTACCACGACGGGTCAGGGTTCACCAGGAAACAACAGCAATTAAGAGGTGGTTCCAGGCTCCTCTAGATCTGGGACCTTGCTGCCGGATGTAGTTTATCGTCATACCCAGGAAGACTATGTGTTTCTGAAAAATAGCTGTTCTACAGCCAAACCAGTTTCGTGTAAGCTCATATTAATGAAGAAGGAAACTGTATGCTTTGTTTTACTTTCATCACTACGACTGAAACACAAGATTTTTTTTTTAAAGCAGAAAAAAAAAACAATAAAGTAAATATTCCTTTGTAACATTTTCTAGAATTAGTTCTGCTTGTTTTATTGATATTATTTTATTTTTGGTGTTTAACTTTATGACTTTTAGACTTTTGCTTTCTCTACGTATTTATTTTTTCTTTCCTTTTTTTTTTTTTTTTTTTCAAAAGTTTTCATTATTTATTTATTTGTTTCCACAGTCGAATCCAAAAACGTGCCCTCTAGTATTTTCTATGTGATCACCTGTCAATACTGGACTGTTTCTAATCAATCATTACCAAGAAAAGTACTGGTGTGAATACGACCGAACGGGCGGGGTTGACTAGTACACACCGAGTGTCGGAGAGAGGCAGATTGTGCAAAAAGGGCGGGAAAAGAGAAGCGTCGGGTCAGGAGCGGGAAGTGGGGACGAAGTGCTGGCGTGGAAAAGTGAAGGTTGTACATAGAAGTACGCGAGGAAACGGTGGAGGATGGATATGTCATATTGGAAGGAGAGCAGGGAGGAGGGCGTTGTTGGTTGTAGTTTGAGAGCGATGCTTGATTTGTGGGTAGATGTCAGATGGAAGTCTTTTCAAAAATGGAAGTAAAAGTTGAGGTGAAAAATTTCCAATCGAAAGAGATTGAGAGAGATAGAGTTAGAGACAGAGAGTGAAAGAAGAAGAAAGAAATCATAGAGAAAGTGAAGAGAGAGAGAGAAATCATTGACGGAAAGAAAGAAAGAGAAAATGAATTATAGAGAGTGAAAATGAGAAGAATAAAAAAGAAGCGAGGAAGGACGAAAGAAAGAAAGAGAGAGAGAGAAAGAAAGAGAGAGAGAAAGAAAGAGAGGGAGAAAGAAAAAGAGAGAGAAAGAAAGAGAGAGAGAAAGAAAGAGAGGGAGAAAGAAAAAGAGAGAGAAAGAAAGAGAGAGAAAGAGAAATGGTTCATTTTATGAGATCGCAACTTTTGTTGGTTAATTTAACGCCGAATTTTGTGTTGAGCACTCAGTGAGTATCGCAAAAATTGTTAAAGTGAAAATGTGAACATTCCTTCAAGTTGAGATACCAGAGAGAGAGAGAGAGAGAGAGAGAAAGAGTAAGAGAGATAAAGAGAGAGAAAGAGCGCTTACGAGAGGGAGAGAGAGAATAAAGAGACAGAGTGAGAGAGAATATATTTAGAGAGATGCAGAAAGGAAGAGAAATAGAGAAAGAGTTGGAGGGAAGATAGATAGAGATGGAAAGAAAAAGTGTATTTTTTTCGCTGCTAGCAATATATGGCGAGGGGTTTGGAGAATGTAGTCGACAAACAGGTGTGTAAGTCGATGAAATGTTATTAAAAGGCATGAAAGACAAGAGAAGAAAATATATATATATATATATATATATATATATATATATATATATATATATATATATCGTTAGGTAATGAAAATTTTGGTAATCCGTATGAATAATCCCAAGGAGGATGAAATCCAGAGAGCTCAATGTCAAATCAGAGCAAATATTAATTTAATTTAATTGAAAAATAGACAACCTTAAGGGTCCATTGATTATGTTTTATATCCCCAGATTTTTTTTTTCCTGGTTCCTCATCTAAGGTTGTATGTTTTCTATTTGAATTTAATTAATATATATATATATATATATATATATATATATATATATATATATATAGTTTATGCAAAACTAGGTAATCCGTATGGGTAGAACCAAGGAGGATGGTATCCGGAGAGCTCAATGTAAATTCAGAGCAAATATGTTTGAATACAAACAGACCCCTTTTAAAAGGGCTCTGGACCATATATATATATATATATATATATATATATATATATATATATATATATATATATATATATATAAACAAATGACGTCATGCATTATGAAATGGACAACGTCCAACAATTATTTTACGTAGTTTAAAGTTTATTTTTTGTAGTTTAAAAACTGTAAAATAGACTTTGCTAAGTGAAACACACCTCTGTGGCTCGATCGGTAAAGCACGTCAAGCTATATGAAGAATCCGTATAGGATGCTGGTTCGATTCTGGTCGGGGGGGACATATTCTCTATGAAAATCTTTTGGACATTCAGGACGGTAAATATCGTTAATACTGTTTATTATAAACAGACCATTTACTTAAATATTTGTATCTATAAAAAGAAGGTATAACCATGAAAAATGTCTTAATATATATATATGTGTGTGCGTGTGCATGTGTTTTTTATTCATTACTCCGACAGTTTTTATCACTTAAAAGTTTTTTTTTAGTGGATGCCCATATTTGAGTAGAAGCTCCGTTTATTTTTTAAACAGTATAATTATTTTCGTCTACCGGTCCAAATAATCGATGCTTATCTAGCCTTCTGCAGGATTTGAACACGCGTTTCTCTTTACAGGAGAAACTGTCGTTAGATGCGATGTGCTCTCATTCACGAGTTTTAGTCGCCAATCACACAAAGTCTAATAGTGCCTTATGACAACGGTTTCTCCTGCAAAGGGAAGCGCAGGTTTGAATCTTGGCAGAGAGCACATATTTTTCTTTTATAAGAATTTCTCGAATATTCAGGCTGGTAAACGTAAATTAATTCATAGACTAATAAATAAAAGGAAATATGGGCATCCACTAAAAAAGATTAAGATATAAAATATACACACATACAATTAATTCGAATTTAAGATTGAACATAAGAACGAACGTGTATATATATATATATATATATATATATATATATATATATATATATATATACACTGCGTGCCAAATTATTATCGAGATAACTTTTTTTCTAATATTTCAAAAACCGTCCAATCAATTCACACAATATTGGCAACACTGAGCTGCGGAACCACTGAAATTTTCGTACTGTTCTGCGCAATGTAAACAAACTGGCGCCATATTTGTTATTTGTTATCATATATATATATATATATATATATATATATATATATATATATATATATATATATATATAGGGGTTGGACAAAATAATTTGAACAGTTGCAAAATCCACTCCTATATTTCAAAGACCTATTATATTAAGAACTTTAACTAAAACTTCGCAACTGCAGGTTATATCTATTGTAAATACATTTTTTGATCTAATTTACTGTCTTTTCCATTATTTATTTTTAGAATTTAGTAAAATTTAAGATAAATGCGTGATTTCTCCGAGTTCGAAAAGTGCAAATTATTGGAACTCGCATGGCAGGAGCCTCGATCAGTAAGGTTGCTGAACTGTTTGGTTTTTCAAGAGCTACCATATCAAAAACACTGATGCAATTCGAGAAACAGAGCAAGACCTCAAGCAACCGTAGCAATTCGGGGCGGACTTACAAACTTACTGACAGGGATTGACGTGCATTGAAACGCAATGTGGCAAAAAATCATCGGACAAATGCGGCCAAAGTGACTGCTGAGTTGAATAACCATCTGAATAATTCAGTTTCTACAAAAACTATTCACCTTGAGCTTCATAAGGCTGCATATCATGGAAGTGCCGCTGTGAGGAAACCTCTTCTCTCTACTCACAACATTCAAAAGTGGTTGAAGTGGTGCAGAGATCACAATGCCTGGTCTGCGGACTAATGGAAGCAAGTCATATTCTCAAACAAGTCCAGTTTTTCTCTTTTCACAACTTCAGGGCAAGTTTATGTGTGGAGGAAGCCGAAAGAAGCTTACAACCATGACTGCCTTCTTCCAACAGTGAAGCATGGAGGTGAATCAGTGATAGTTTGGACCGCCATATCATGGAAAAGTCTCAGTCCAATAGTTGCCCTGCATGGTAGAATCAACCACAAGATTACCTGAACATTTTGGGAGATCATGTTCATTCAATGACCAAGACTGATGGTGACTGCATCTTCCAAGACGATAATGCTCCAATACATACCGCTCGAGTGGTTAAGAATTGGTATGAAGAGCATGAAAGTGATTTAGAACACATGGAGTGGCCTCCCCAATCTCATGATATCAATATTATTGAACCTTTGTGGTGCATTTTGGAGCAACAATTTAAGATCCTCTATCCTCCACCGTCGTGTCGTAAAGAGCTGGAGAAGGTTTTAATGGATGAATGACTGAAAATTCCTCTGGATGAAGTCAAGAAGCTGTATGATTCCATTCCTAGACGTATTAAAGCTGTCTATGGGACTAAAGGAGGACCAACTCCATATTTTTTTTTTTTTTTTGAATTTAACAAGTCTTCCAATTATTTTGTCCAACCTCTGTATATATATATATATATATATATATATATATATATATATATATATATATATATATATATATATATATTGGTAGAAAATAATAGAAAACAATAAGGAATCAGAAATATAAATTATCTGTACTCGCATGCTCTCTATTGAACTGATCAGCGAAGATTTTATTGGATATGATATAAAGATCAAAACAATAACAGCAGGGATGATCATTAGAATAATTGATGAAAAATATATAATTTCACTTCCGGAAGGTCGGAAGACACCAAAGACGTATCCTCGGGATTAAAAACATCACCGATGAAGACGTTAGCCTGAATAATGAAGAGAACAAAGATATTACTTCAACTTTGATCTTCAAACAGATCGACGAGCGCCCAATTGCACTTTAAGCAAAGCCTAGTGTTCAAAACAAGAATGTTGCGAAGGCATATTTGTAATATGCCATCATGGAGATTAGATATTACAAAGAAGGCTTCTGGAAGCGTAGTGATCAGGACTTGAAATTAAACTAAGTACCTTAGTACAAAACACATACGGTGAATGATCAAATCGAGAAGTCTCTATATTGAGGCTGATAAAGTTGAGTCGATTCCACTGTTTCTAGTGCCTGACTCCCAGACACGATTATTTTCAGGATTTGGAATTTCAAAATTGATTTCTTTCTTTTTTTTTCTTTTTTTTTTTTTTTAAAGACGAAACATATTTTTGGATTATAAGAATAATAATTTTCTTTTCTTACGAATGAGTTAGGAATGAATAAAATGATTAAACACTTTAGGGAGACAATAGTAATTTTAAGATACACTTTTTACTATTAACCTATAGAGGATGGTTGAAGATGTGAATGCATACATTTTCCAAGGATATTTGCGCGTAAGTAAATGTTACGAGCTCGACTGGAATCGAAGCTCGACATTCCGACTTTTCATTCTTACTTAGTAAAAATCCACATTCTGTGAGAATTATTCCACATTAGGGAATCCAGTGACATATTGTAGGATCACAGAACTTTTATGATTTGTCCTTTATTCCACCTAAGGAAGACCTTAAATGAAAAACTGTGGAATCATCCTTCAAGTTCGAAGTCGTCAGTCGCACTACTCAACGTTTTCACTTCTTCCAGAGCGTTGGCAGTTTTAGATTTTGACTCACAAAAGGGAGACGACTATAATTTTTGTAGTTTTAAATTTCTAATTTGATCTTTTAACTGATTGGTAAAGTTAATTGTGTGGTTTCTGTTACCTTCGTTTTTTGTTGTTTTTTTTTCTTAATTATTTCACAGCAATGAAGTCACTAAGACGAGAGGGGTTAATCAGACTTAAGGAATCTGCGGACAAAGAATAGGAGAAACGATAGAAAATGATGTTTGACGATGAATTTAAATTTTTGATTTAAACCAGAAACTAGAAGGCGACAAACCGGGAAGACGAAACGTTCTCTTCATTTTGTAATTTAGAATTGATCTTCATTTAGATTCGTTGAATAAATACCCTAATAAGACCAACTATTTCATTTACAGCTAAGTATAGCTGGGTTCATGTCTTTTCCGAAGCCTGTTGGCAGTCATTATACAATCATACCACTCACAGACTTGCTTATTTTTCCTCTCTTTCTTCGTTCAAATGTCATGTAATTTGAAGACAATGAAAATCATGGCTCTCCATACCTTCCTGCTCTGAGTAGGTGTTGCACAATCACTCTACACTTTTCCCTTGTTCCCATCTA